AACAAGGCATCTATCTCTTCTTACATAGAGGTAACTGTTATCTTGAATTTTAGTTAAACTTAGAAATGAGAAACCCACGACACTTTAAAGTTTACACCATATGCCCTCTTCAGCTGAACATAAACTCAATGTTCTTCACTTGATTAAACTCTGATGTCATGTAGGATCAATACTGGGCTCCTCCAGATTTTAAAAGGCTATTGTCTGCCAAACTGAAGTATTTGACTGCAACAGGAAAACTTATCAAGGTGGTATTATGTTGGGAAAATAACTTTAAGTAATACCAACTATCACTCATAAACCAAAAGTGATACATACTATGTAAATAGCAATATCCTACTCCAACTACTTAAATATGTGACTAATGTGATGCAGAGTCACTTTCCAACTACAAATCTAGTTAACCAAAGCATCAAAAACTGGCTCCATATCATCAAATAAAGCTTATTTGATGATATGATGTTAGTTTTTAATGGGTTAAGTTGCCGGATTTATAGCCCGAAAGTGGTTCCATATGATTTTTGTATACATTTGAATAGTTGGGTATAAATTGTAATTTTTGTAGTATGTAATATTATTGGTTGACAGATGATAATACTATTTAAAGTTGTTTTTCCTATTATGTATTGGTTCAAATAAAAAGGGTCATCCCCATTAAAAATAAGAAGAAATATGGTGCATCGCAATTGTGGTCTAATGGTTCTAAACATGCTTTACCCTTTATTTTGAATTTTATAAGTAAATCACTTTAGTTTTACACTTTGTTAGTTTGTAGTTATAAAAGAGTTTCTTTGATGTTGCCAAAAAAAGTTTCTTCGATTAATTATCACTTCATTTTTGCAATTGAGACATGATTTAATACTCAGACCCCCCCCCCCCCCCCCCCCAACAGATGAAACGGAAATATACAATAGCAACAACTTTAACACTTTCGAAAAGACGAAACTATCCCGCTTTACTATTGGAGGGAAGGCAGAACCTGTCACCCAAACCAGAGACGGACCCACAGTTGTCAAAGGCGAGGAGTAGTATGACTCGTATAGAGGTGGCAGAAGCTGCCGCTAAAGCCGTAGCTGAAGCAGAAGCTGCCATAGCTGAAGCTGCCGAGGCTGCAAGGGTTGCAGAAGTAGCAGAAGCTGAAGCTGAAGCTGCCCAAGCCTTTGCAGAAGCAGCGATGAAGACTCTTCAGTGGAGGCACTCTCCCAGGATGGTAAGTTCCTCATTCCTTGCTGTCTGTTTCACTTCAGTTCGAAAATTACCGAGGAAGAAAATACAGTATAAAGACTAAGGAATTCTTATTGTACTAATCAATCAAATTCTATTTTCTTCATATTTGCAAGGCCAAATCAAACATAAAATACTATTTTTAGTAATATTTTTGTTTTCCTCCCTGTACCATTTTCCAAACACAGACTTAGTGATATATAGATATCATTTTTCATTATTGCCAATTCCTGCTCTGAAGAGTTCATCATTTTGTATTTCATTTTGGTTGGACCCAAGTAAAACCTCAATCTCATATCATGTTTTAAGTTTGGAAAATTTCACATGAATAATCCCACCTTTTTTGGTTTGTCCAATATCAATCCCAAATATGAGGATTTCTAAAATAATCTACTTTATACAGGGCATCTTCTCAAATTAAACTCATGACCGGAATAAAAGGATTCATCAGGTCACCTGACACATATTTTAATCTGATTGGACTTCACACATTTTTACTTTTCTATTTTCTTTTCCTTTCTCTTTCTTTATTTCTCTTCTCTTGACTATTTTTCTTTTTTTCCTTCCTTTCTCCTTTACCATTCTTCTCTTTAATTGGATCTCATCTTCCGTCGATTCTTTTTCTTAATTTCTTTTACAACTACAGTCATCCAAATAAAGACAAGGACTGAAGAAGAAACTGGCCGCAGCTGTAAGATGAACCATCAGAGGCCAGAGGAATACTATTCTGGCGAGGACCTAGGACCTCCATTCGACTGTTGCATTAGAAGCAGAGTCAGAGGCCCTCCATCACCATATTCGTCGACAACAGAAGCAGGATGCTCCTCCGTTCCATCTTTGACAAGAGAGATGACTTGAATATGAAAGTGCCGGCAACACCTTCGTTTCCGCATGGATTGAACTACTATCGCGGTCAAAGATGATTGTGAAGAGGAAGATGAACACTTCTTTCATGTCTTCTCCATAGATGAAGAGTAAAGATGATGATGAGGATGAACGAGTCCATTCAGATGCAGATCAATCTTTTCTCTTTCTTTTTTTGTTTTTTTACTTTTTTTACGAAAGTTGTAGGTAACCTGGATCAATGGCGGAAGATCACATATAAATTTGAGATTTATGTTAGAATTAACGTGTATTTGGGATTAATATTAGATGAACATGAAACAGAGATTATTCATGTAATTTTTTCCTTTACATGTGCAGATGATTCGTGCTTGATGGATTTGCTCAAGGACAGTCATGATCTGTGAGCACACTCACTCTTCTGGATGTCATATCCTCCGTTGTTGTAAATAGGACGGACATATTTCAGCTAAACCCATTCTTAAGCCACTAAACCTGTCTTGTTGCCCCACTTCAAGTCATCCAAATATCTGTGTTTGGATGGAAATGCAAAACAAATAGAGGGGCTTTAGTATACTTGTAAGCCCTCTACTATATCAATTGGGCTTTAGTTTTACCCATGATGTGCTCTTATAACCGGTTAAAAGTTGGAGGGTTCAATAGGCTAACAAACCAAGTTGTGAGTTTAAAAATGGGGTTGCCAATATTTATCTGTAGAACCAGGTGGAGAACCTGAAGCACTTCAAGAACTAGTACAGGAGTACGGGAAGTGGTATTGAAATTGACAAAAATATGTTCATATACTTTTGAGATATGAGTATAAGGCAAATGCAAAAGCAAAATATAAGCAAGTAAAAAGTCATACTGACACAACGGGCAACTTCACATTTACTTGGTGGCTTCATCACATTTTTTACAATACGAACACCAGACCTCAGTATTTCAAAGATTCATTGTAAATGAAAATCCATGTAGCTTGTCACAAATCACAATTGCATATAAAGCAAACACTAATTGCAAAAACATGCAAGTAAGTTTTCATACAAAATGTATATGATGTAACTTTGAGTCTTTGAGTGGAGTAAAAAAAGTTCAAGCGTTACTTTCGAACCCGGAAGGAAATCAGGTTAGATGATTTTTTAATGAAATAAGGACATATTTATAATTAAACTAAAGATTGTTTACAAAAATGTGATTAGTGACTACAGTAGAAATGAATCATTGTGATGAAAAAAAGTTACTATGACACTACATTGTAGTCACTATTAGTCATGTAAATAATTTTTATTTTTGTAAAAACCCCATTTTTCAAATGGAGCGTATTCGTCTACATCTGTCACACCATACAACTCAAAATAGTTGTCCTTTAAGGCTTTAAGGATGTCTTCATGTACCTCCTCTCGAAAATGTAAGATACTTTTGCATTACAAGCCTCTCAAGTTTAACACTCTTGGTACCAATAAGAACTTCAAACAAAAGATACCACTCATTTCCTCTGAAATAAGTATTGGTGGTTTTATAACCAAAGAGAACAAAAAATTCAGCACTTATAGGGCAAAGAATATTTGGCATTACAATAAGATGATAAATTAATACTATCCTCCATTCGGAAATCGGAATTAATTGCAACATGGAGGTTGAGCACACATTAAGGAATACAGATAAAGAAACTACTTTCCATTGTTGCCCCTGTACAACACAAAGTACAATCGAAAAGAGGCTTTAACAACTCGAACCAGCACCTCCGTCTAACCGTCTTCTCCTTTGATGACTTCCCATTTTTTGGTCGGGATAGCACTATTATTTGCGACGAAGGCTACAACATCCATACGGATTTGTAATTTGACTAATTTCTTTCACTGTTTCAGGCTCCAGCTACCCTCTTTTATTCGAACTACTTGAAGAGTAATTTCCTGATTTACATATTCCTTCCAGTCGAATCTTGAAAGGCACTCACAGGAGGAAGCCAGATTACCTCTTTGCTCTTCAAATCTTCTTCCTGAATTCTCAAACAGGCGAAACAACAAAGTAAAAAAGAAAAAAAAGTAGGATCAATTGTGACTTGTGAGAAACGTGTAGCAAATCCATGGTAGTAATGGTACATGTGGTGCAAATGAAAATAAAGAAAGATGAAGAAAAAGATTCAAGAGAAAGAAGAGAGATAATGGATATACATGGGTGGATAAGAAGTAACTCCCTAAATCTAGAGTTGGACTCGGGCCGGGCCTAGGCCTGAATAGATGGGCCTGGGACCGCGGCCCGAGTACCCACCGGGTCCGGTTCGAGTCGGACCGGGCCTATTATCATTTTTTTCCCTCTTCCTAATTAACCCCCCCCACCCACCCCCAATCCCCCAAACCACCCCAAATGGCCCAAAATACCCAACCCAACCCGAAAATTTAAAAAAAAATGAACAAAAAAATCAATTTTGTTTTGGGTGATCCGAGCTCGGACCCGAATACCCACGGGTCGGGCCTACCCGGACCGGTCACTGACCGGGCCACCGGGTCGGGCCGGGCCGGAACAGTACCGGTCCCGGGCCGGTTCCGGGTCGGGCCACCCAGCCCGAGTCCACCCATACCTAAATCGGAAGGGCTGTGAGTAAGGGTATTAATGTCCATGACTCCATGTATATATCATTTATTTCCTTTTAAGAGAAATGTCGTAATTTTTTTAAATTACCAAAAAAGGCAAGTGTTGCAAATTTGTTATTAAAAAAGAACAGAGTGCGTATATAGAAGAATGTAAACTTAGGAATATTTGAAAGTTGAAACCATCACCTCTTGAAGAATTAAGAGTAACACTTCAATAGTTCAATCCCTTGTTTTGAGAATTATAACTAGATCCTCTACTAACACTAAAAGGAAGCCCCCGCCCATTCCGCAGTCCAAACCACAAAAACACAAAAAGAAACATATGGTAGTACTAGAAAATAGAGAATGAGAACAGGGTATATAGACGTACGAATCCAAACAGTTTGATGTCCAAATATTAACAATCACAATCCTTGACAGATTCAATACAACTAGGCTTTTACTCTTGTTTGCACTGAATAAAAAAACCCCTCCGTATAAAATTAACCGTGGTACATATTATGATGTGTGTTTCTGTGTGCATCAGCTTATGTGTATAACTACCAAGAATGTGTGCGTCTTCTTAGGTCCAGCTTGTAATCATTGATATATCAGAGCAGGCTCCACATAACAAGCTGATGGATGCAGGTCTTCATAGATAAGAAAAAGTAGACAACATAAAGATGAAGCACATAGGCATAGTATATTGCTGGTGTTTTAAACGATTACAAAAAAAAAAGATGCCACCCCATCCCTGAGGGCCCCCAACCTCGACCGGACGGTACGTTGGGAGGATGTAAATTGGACTATAATCCCAATCTGACAGATAGAGAGTGAGACTCTGTCCCCGGTACTTGCAGAGGCCCTATGCATTTTGAGCATAGTAACCCCTCATCGCGGTTGCCGGGATTCGAACCCGGGACCTAACTCTTGTGGCACTCCCTTGCTACCAGTTGAGCTACGCCCACCGGTTTAAAAAGATTACAATATTGTACATTCAACAGGGGAGAGTAACCTCACTGCATCACTTTTTAATTTAGTAGACATATTTCACTTTATAAATATCCCCTTTTTATCCTCACTCCATCACATTCAATACACAGAAATAAAATGCTTTAAAAGGTCACAATTGGGGTTAGTGGAGTGTCTGAGGCTCTGAGCGCATGAAAGAATGACACGCTCTGGTCCCTAGGGACTAAAACACTAGATGACAACCAATGAGTCAATGACTACAAGTGTGGGAATAAAAGTTTAAACATGTTTTTACCCTAAACTAAAACATTTTTTATTCATATACGTGTATTTCCTTGTAGTAAATACCTAGTAAATTCTTAAGATGCACATGAGCAGCAGCCTCTTGAGCCCCTTGATGACAGTAGGTCCTATGATATGCCAACAGAAAGACAGAATAAAATCCTAAAGATGCAACCATTTTTAAAAAATGAAACTTAACAAATATGTTAGAATTAGTAAGAGCAGGTGGTCATGGACCAAATTATTCTTATATTCTCAAAATTCGCAAAAGCATTTAAACAAAGTGGTGGGTTGATTTTTCAATAAGAATAAGTGATATGCTATTTAAACATCTCATACTTTTTTATTTAGACTTTTGAGAAGAATGCTTTGAAAACCATCACAAGTTTTGGACTTCTGGTAGCACAATAGCACAAAAACAAATTCAAAGTTTTTCAAATTCAAAGACAAATATTGAAAAAAGACCAACAAAGGGAATCAATATTAACAACCACAGCAGCTCACATACCTGCTATCTTAAATCTGTATCAAGGGCCATTTTCAGACATGTTTGCCTTCTGCTTGAGTGTTCAACTGCATATCTTCATTACTTCAACAAAAATGTCTTAATAACAATGTCAAAGACAGCTAATGTGAATTCTATTTCTCAGTATGATTTAACTAAGCATTAAATTTCACGATCTTTTGAGCTGGCATATCTTCTCATTATGCATAACACTTAATGTGTGCTTCACTCGCAAGCTTAAGATTCATTCTAAAAAAATTGATTAGCAGAGTGCAAATCATGAGGGATGAATGAATATATGCTTCAATTTTTACTAATAACTCGTACTAAGACCCAAGAGGATAACGATTTGGCACTAACTCTAAGAATGATATGGAGCCACAATATTAGTTCCACAAACAGAATCATTGGTGTTCCACCCCTAGACTCGTTTTGCATTCGTCACAAAATGGGTCAGGATGCACAATGATATGCAGGGATACTTAGGTAGATTAATTAGATATACAGGTACAAATGTAGAAAAATATATGGAGTAGATGTGTAGCTAATAATTATGTAACCTAAAGAGCCATCTCACCAGCCTCTAAAATGTTCATACTACCACTGTGGCCCCCAGGTGGAAACCTTTCCTAAGCCCTCCTCACAATGTTCTTCACTGCAAATCAATCGTCTCATTCACCATATTCCTGTTTGAAACAAGCACATATATCAAAGTCATCCTTTACAACAACAACAACATCCAAGCCTTAATCCCAAAAGATTTTGGGGTCGGCTAACATGAATCAAATTCATCCTTTGAAAAAGGAAAATCTGAATCCACTAAGATCCGGCCTGAATGATTTCACATTCAACATAAATACAGACTTTCAAAAACATCATTTGTATTGGGGTATTGGCATCATCTAACAAATAAAGGCATCACTTAACTTGCAACTAACAAAAAAAAATGAATTTGATGGGTGTCAAGTTCAAGCAACGCTTAAATGTTTCCATGGAACAACGATTTTACTTTAGCTGTGATTAACTGATTTGCCATACCGGATAATCCAGAATGACTTTGGTAATGCACATTTGTTACAACCTAGTCATTAGTGCTACGTAAACTTTTAAAATTTACTCCCTATTTGTTATTCTAACCAACTTACCATGTTTAAGTTAATTGTCAATATTTTTCTACAAACTGCACTAAATAGAATAAGGTTCGCTTGATCATTAGTGACTCTTTTTTAAGAGAAGTATGACTTATATAGGCAGAGTGAGTATTTAGGAGACATATGACTGATATACACTTGAACATAAATATATATTGAATCACTTACTAATCTCACCGAGAACATAACTTTAAGCCTTCAAAATTTTCAAAATCCAAACTGAATTGATTTTTTCCCGGAATATAGACAGCAAGCCAGAAGCAGAATGTGTATAAGTTAAATGAATAATATCAGTTTTTGAAGAGAATATATACCATTTAATCACCAATAGTCCTTGCAAGAACATTGTCCATTCCTGAAATGATGAAACCTGCTTTTATCTCTGACCACTATATCTCTCTTGTATAATTTCGAAATAAATTTCAGTGCCTGATGACAGCCATCACATGTTCTAAGGTTCTTAATGATCCGGATCACTTTTCCAGGTTCGGTGTTCATCAGACCAAAAGCAAGAGCGACTCTCTCAGTGTGGTATCTAATCACAACCTCCTTCTCTTCATCATCAATGTCATGCAACACAGATGACGTATCATGCTCATAACCATTAGCCTGAAGATCCATGGAAATCTTATCCAAAAATGCACTAATTTGAGGAAATTGAGGATGTGAAGTGTCACCAGCTACAAATTCATGCAACACATTATCAACTTCAATCGAACTGCATCCGGGCATCTTTAACACCCCCCTCTCATTCATTAGCTTCCGGCACATAACAACATCGGTCCATCGGTTTAAGGAAGCATAGAGATTGGACAAGTAAACATAATTTGCTCCATCACACGGATCCAAATCCAAAAGGTGTTGGGTAACTTGTTCACCAAGCTTAGTGTTTTTGTGAACTTGACATGCTCGAAGCAAGCTTCCCCAGACAACCACATTTGGCTTCATAGGCATAGTCCTTATTAGTTCCATAGCTTCTTCAAGAAGCCCAGATCGGCCCAAAAGGTCAACCAAAGATCCATAATGTTCAATTCCGGGTTCAATTCCATAAAAACTCTTCATTTGAGAAAAATATTTTTTGCCAGCAGAAACCAAGCCGGAATGGCTACAAGCACATAGAAGCCCTAGAAAAGTAACACTGTCTGGTTTTATACTATCAACCTTTTGCATTGCCTTAAATGCATCTATAGCTTCATTTCCATAACCATACATTCCTAGACCAACAATAATAGAATTCCAACAAAATACGTTCCTTGTATGGAGTCCATGAAAAACATCAAGAGCTGATTCTATGCTTCCACATTTGCAGTACATATCTATAAGGGCATTGCCTAAAACAACATCAACCCTAAATCTCTTTTTGTTGATGTAGGCATGAGCCCATTCACCCATATCTAATGCCCCAATATGAGCACATGCCGACAACAGGCTGATCATTGTCACCTCAGTTGGTTTCACATTCTGAGATAACATTTCACGGAATATGTTTATAGCACTGACAAACTCTCTGCATTGTACATACCCAGAAATCATAGTATTCCAGCTCACAACAGTTCTGGTGGAATCCAATTTTGAAAACAACTCCTCTGCGTAAACCAATTGTCCTGATTTGCAATATCCATCTATCATAGCATTCCAAGATATTACATCCTTTAATGGGTTCTGATCAAAGATGGAACGTGCAGAATCCATGTCACCAGATTTGCAATAAATATTAATCAACATATTCCACGAAGAAGCATTCCTCTCAGGCATACTGTTAAACAACTGCTTTGCCTCATCCAAAAATCCATTTCTATTAAGGGCTGAAATCATAACATTATTTGCAATGACATCTCTTTCGGGCATTTCACCAAACATCCTCCGCGCGTATCTCAGGTCCCCAATCTTAGCATAAAAGTCGAGCAACCCAGTCTGCAAAATCACATCAAATTGAAACCCCACTTTTACTATCTGACAGTGAAAAGATTCCCCTAACCAGGTCGCACCAGAAACCGCACAGGAACGCAAAACCAAAGAACCTGTACTTTTGTTAGGGAAGAAACCGTAGAATCTCGACCAGTGATAGATATCAAAGAAATACACGAGGCTATGGGATTCAAGTGACATCCGAATCATCGAATTCCAATGCAAAGCATCGGGTCTCGGAAGACTACGCAAAAAGTGCTTTGCGTGCTGGCTATTTCGAGAGGTAAAACAAGAGAGTATGAAACTGGTGAGAAGCTCAGTATGATTGAGACATCCATTGGCAATGATTTGGGAGTGGATTTGTTTCAACTGTGTAAGGGTGAGATGCTTATTCGTAGATAATAGCGGAATAAGTTGATTACCGAATAAAAATGAATTCTTTACCAATGGATTCATCAGAAAGAGTGAATTTATATATGAGACATGGTAATTTGTCTGTTCCTAGTTACGTAATAGCAGAAGCAGCAGACGACACACATCTTCCCTCCAGGCAGCCTTCTAAGTTTCTAACCTGAAGTCAGATACAGAAAAAACATTGAGCGTTTTTAAGATAGAAACAAAGAAAACTCGCCTAAGAAAATAGCCTAAGAGTCAAAGGCACGCCTCAAGGTGACTTTTGTGACGTAAGGCTTTACAAAAAGCCTCATGAATTAAGCATGTGTCCACAAACTCCACACTGAATTCTAATAAATCTTGTTTCATTTAAAATATAGTTTTTGTATGATAAAAACAGTAATGTGTCTTTTTGTGTCTTTGGATTCCCATTTTGAATTATCGGTATGGGCTTGTAACTATTCATAACTTAAGTTTGTTATTACTAGTTGAACTATTTTAAGTTTTATTTGTTGATATATATGGAAACTCATGCCTCAATATGCAAAGGTTTGCATATCTCACATCTCCAGAACAAACTGTCTGGATATACAAACTAGGCTTTTTCAACATTGTTAACATCACTTGATTACTCATTTAGTAATTAGAAGTCATAAATATTGTGAATGGAATGGAACAAAAAAGACCATATATTTTAAATGGAATTTGAAAATCCTAAAAGTGGTTTGGAAGTATCATAAGTATGTAAACTACAATATGCGCTGGAGCATTTTCTGACTTAAAATTTTGAAGGTTTACATAATGAAAAAATAGCAGGATCATTTCTTAATAATAACAAGCACTAAAAACTACAAACTGACTTTTGCCTTTTGCCTGCACCATTTTTACAGCATAATAATCTCATAATCCTAGTTAAATTTTCATATTAATTGTATCTCTTTAGCATTTTGATGGCCCTAGGCAGAAAACAATATTAAAGTGATTTCTATAACAGTCATAAAAAATAAGATAAAATGATTGAATAAAAACACACCCGTCACAGCATATTAGAAACAAAGCATACTCAAAGTGTCCACAACTTGAAAAGTTTTAACATATACAAAATGCACTAACAAAGAGTACTTTTTAATACGTTATAATAATGTAATATCTCAGGACCTATGTGTAATTTTCCTAATTACGTTTATTATAAATATAAGGCTACGGCACCCAAGAGGGTAAGCCATTATCTCCCAAAATTCATTATTTTGTATATGGTATCAGACGATTTAATAAGCAAATTTCTTGTCAATTTATTTTTTCTCTTTGTACATATAGAATCAAAATTTTGTTTACCCGTCATGGAAATACGTACATATAAACATATATATAGATAATAATTAATGAAAAATCATCAATAAACAAATGAAAATTAACAATTACAATATACAAATATTAAATATTTAGTGACAAAATAACTAAATGACTAATCCAATTACAAGTATAAAATATCAGTGCAAAACATAAATAACTAATAAGTAAAAATTATAAGATTGTAACATTTATTCTTAAGTTATTAACAAAAAATGCATACAATAATGACTTAATGACAAAAGCTGGAAAAAAATGTCCAGCGATAGCGTAGAAGTTGTAGAAATCCCAATTGCAGAAAGAAGGTCTGAAGCAATCAAGCAAAGAGTCGTGCGTACCTGGAAGCTCGAATCCACCTAGAACTCCGGAAGAAGAAGAGAGGAAGCGATTAAGCTCGAAATCCGGAATCTTTAATCGTCCCAGGCTTTGAACCTCGCCGGCCTAGGAGTCGGTGGTTTGGGGATTTGGGCGACGGCGTCTCAGCTCACTGTCGTGGGAGGATCAACTGTGCGTCCGTCGAGTTTCAGCGACTCTGTATTGAAATTAAAAGATTAATTTTAATATCAGTAATAGCTTTTTGAGGCCCTAACAATAATTAGAAGGTTCTAAATTGATTATAAGTGATTTCATGTTGAGAGAAAGGTCTCGAGAGTTAGTTCCGGTGAAATACTTAGTTAAATAAGGTACGAGAATTAAACGAGGTTTAATACGTACGCGTTTTATTCGGTAACATTAATGAAAAAACGGTCAAAGATTCGTTTAAAAAACGTTCACTTTTAAAAAATGTGTAAATACGTATACGTGTATAATACGGTATCTTTTACAAGACAAAAAATACTGGTACTATATATTTTGAACATTTAAATTATATATTTTATAAAAGAACATATATAGTAAAAAGAAATAAAAGCATACACATATTCAAATAGCAAATCTCATTACTACATAAAAGAATAATTCGTAATTGCATAAGTCGATGATAAAAATGAAAATAGTAATTAAGTTGAAGACATGATTTTGTAAACTAATGTCAACAAATAAGACATAAAAAAATATTTTGAGACTAAGTTAAAGTAATTATCTTTATATGATCATCAAATAACACTCAATTTAAATTCATCATTTTCATCAAGATGACGGATGACATATGTGACTGCTACGCGCGCTTCTTGTTGTTTGTGTAAAAATTTATACTAAAAAATGTGAAGTTTACAAAAACTTTAACTTAGAAATCGACTTGATGCCAAAAGCAAATTTATACTAAAAGTTTTAAATTTATACTAAAACTTTAACTTAGAAAAATGGTGCAGCAAAACTGGAATCGACTTGATGCCAAAAGCAAGATATTGAAGCTGTTTCATGTGTTCAATTATATTTGATTATCTCCAGTTTCCAACCAGGGCATTTGGTCTAGTGGTATGATTCTCGCTTCGGGTGCGAGAGGTCCCGAGTTCGATTCTCGGAATGCCCCATTAACATTTTGCGTTTTCCAAACGTCCCTCTTTTCTAAAACAAGTCCTAGAAATAAGTTAAAAATGTTGAAAACTAAACTTTACCAACGTGGGCATTTGGTCTAGTGGTATGATTCTCGCTTTGGGTGCGAGAGGTCCCGAGTTCGATTCTCGGAATGCCCCCTCTTTTATGTTTTTTCGAATTTTATCAATTCAGGACCCGAAAGATGAATTATCAATCCGGGACCTGAAAGATGAAATATATCATTATAGGATTCGAATGGTGGAAAACTATCAATTCAGGATCCGAAATCAACGTGGGCATTTGGTCTAGTGGTATGATTCTCGCTTTGGGTGCGAGAGGTCCCGATTCGATTCTCGGAATGCCCCCTCCTTTATGTTTATTCGAATTTTATCAATTCAGGACCCGAAATCAACGTGGGCATTTGGTCTAGTGGTATGATTCTCGCTTTGGGTGCGAGAGGTCCCGATTCGATTCTCGGAATGCCCCCTCCTTTATGTTTTTTGGAATTTTATCGATTTAGGACCCGAAAGATGAATTATCAATCCGGGACCTGAAAGATGAAATATATCATTATAGGATTCGAATGGTGGAAAACTATCAATTCAGTACCTGAAATCAATGTGGGCATTTGGTCTAGTGGTATGATTCTCGCTTTGGGTGCGAGATGTCCTGAGTTCGATTCTCGGAATGCCCCCTCTTTTATGTTTTTTGGAATTTTATCAATTCAGGACCCGAAAGATTAATTATCAATCCGGGACCTGAAAGATGAAATATATCATTATAGGACTCGAATGGTGGAAAACTATCAATTCAGGACCCGAAATCAATATGGGCATTTGGTCTAGTGGTATGATTCTCGCTTTGGGAGCGAGAGGTCCCGAGTTCAATTCTCAGAATGCCCCCTCCTTTATGTTTTTTGGAATTTTATCAATTCAGGACCCGAAAGATGAATTATCAATCCGGGACCTGAAAGATGAAATATATCATTATAGGACTCGAATGGTGGAAAATTATCAATTCAGGACCCGAAAGATGAATTATCAATCCGGGACCTGAAAGATGAAATATATCATTATAGAACTCGAATGGTGGAAAATTATCAATTTAGGACTTGAATGATTGGAAATTATCAATTTAGGACCTATGTTGTCCGATATTTTATTAATTTTTTTATCTTAAATTTTTTAAATATTATTTAGTTTTATGAAACTAATAAACTTGTGTGAAGAAAAGTTTATCAAAAATTAGCAATGGAATTAATAAAAAATTAAAATAAATCAAAACCTATGAAATTTTAGGTCCTAGTTTGATAATTTTCATCATTCGGGTCACATACCGATAGATCTCATCTTTCAGGTCCCGAATTGATAATTCATCTATCTTTTGGGTCCTGAATTGATAAAATTCCATGTTTTTTTTGCTCTCTGTTTTCAGCCATAAAAGCTCGATTCCTTTTTGTTTTTTTATTCCTTTTTGTTTTTTTTTTGTGTCTCTGTTTTCAGCCATAAAAGCTCGATTCATGGCACAAAAATATCTTTCAGGCTAGGCTAATCTATATTTAGGGCTCTTGCACTTTCTTTGTTTTTTTGGCACATATCGTGGTTTTGAAACAAAATCCCATTTCATAATTTTTGAGTATATATTAGGGCTGAGCACGGATCTGGGAATTCCCGTTCCGTATCGAAGAACCGTCTCGAACCGTTCCAGAACCGATAGAACTGGAAAAATGTAATACCGTACCGTACCGTACCGAGCTTTTTTAATAATATGGTACGGTACCGGTTCTAAGTGAAAACCTTACCGGAACCGTCCTGGAACCGTACCGAACCGGACCGTCTCGTATCATCCCGAATTGTCCCGAAAACTAGTGTTATAATATAATAATATATTATATATAATATAATAATATGTATAATATATTATATACCGAGTATAATTGTCTGTATATTACTCTTACATCTTCTTTGGGCCCAATCCAATTATTAAAACAAAAACAATGCTAATGGTCTAATGCCACTTAAATAGAACAAAAACTCTTAAACCTAATCGGCATTGCTGAGGCCCTGATGCCAAGGCTTAATATTGATTGTTGACAGAAATCGCCCCGAGGTCGTGATGGCTGATGTCATTGCCTAGAATTCTGGCAGATTTAGTCTAGCTCAAATATGGATTATTAAATTGATTATTTTTGTCATGTGATGTGATACTTTTTAGTTTTTCAGTTTGACGATCACTTTTGCATTTTAGTTTGGATGTTACTTTTCTTTAATATAGTTTGACTATTAGTTTCATATTTCAATTTGATCACACAATATCAATTTAATATAATCTTGCAAGTTCATCTCTTCAATTTTTGTAGAGTTATTTATAAATGTTAAAATATAAAGTTTTTTATATTTCATGGGGGTTATTTAGTTATTTAAGAACCGTATCGAACTGTACCGGACCGTACCGAAAATTGGTATGGAACGAGACAGGTTCTACATATACGCGAGACGGTACCGGTTCTTGATTTTTAAAAGAACCGTACTTTGGAATGGGACATGTTTTTTCGAAATAACCGTCCCGTACCATCTCATGCTCACCCCTAGTATATATAGGGATTATTGGATTAATCGTATTATATCTTATATTATCTTTCTTTTTGAAAGTAAATGACAATCTTATATGAATTCAACTCATCTTCACCAACAGGTTTACAATAAAATCCGGTTGGGAGTAAAAATTAACATCATGCTCATCAACTAAAATCGCCGTTCGAGCTAATTCAGTAATTCATGAGCAGCTCGATTTGCCGGTCTTCTCACATGATTTTTCCCATTCCAATTTCTTATTTATTTTTTGCTTTTCCAATTTCAATTAGATGCATTATTTTTTACTTTCTGTTTATTGTTTATTCAGGAAAAGGCAATAATTTTCAAACAATCACATTATACTACATTGTCATACGGTGCATTTATACTCCCTCCGTCCCCCGATTAAGTTCCTAGATGAATTTCACGCATATAAAGAAAATAAATTTACTGGGGGGTAAATTTTACTGTTTTGACACTATTTGGACACTGGTTTGCACTGTTTTGATGTAGATAATTTGTCAAATAAGAAAATGTAGGGAAGTGTGAATTTAATTGTGAGACTGCTCAAAATGGAAAGTGGAAACTTAATTGGTGGACGGAGGGAGTATATTATTGACATTACTTTTATAAGTATCCTTTTATTATAGTATTGACATTTTTTAATAGTATCATAGTTCAATAACACTGACATTATATTTGAAATTGTCCCATTTTTATAGCACTGATATTTTAAACAGCGTTCCATTTCTTACATTGACATTTGAAGGCAGTAGGTCATGAGAAACATGCATGGAGTCATTGTCACGCCTAGGGTTTCTCATCTTTTTCGCAAATGACAACCATCTATTTTTCAAAACTAAAGAGGAAGAATGTGTTCTTGTTAAAGAAGTTCTGGAGAGTTATGAGAAATGCTCGGGACAAGTAATAAATTACAATAAATCTAGTGTTCGTTTACGCACTAATGTGGAGGAGGTCAAACAAGTGGGATTTGCAAGTTAATTACTGGGAATATAAAGTTTTTCAATGGGAATGTGATAGTAGGGGCCTGCAATTTTGGGAGGTTAGCGTAAAGCACAACTACAGAGGCAAATAGCAGGGGGTAACTAATCGTGAGGGAGAAAGGTGGGGGAAGCCATAAGTGGGGATGGTGCAATTACTAACCAGGCGGGAGTTAGGGCTTATGGATGTGATGCATAAGCCATAAGTGGGGATGGTGCATAGGACGGGTTTTTCTTTGCTAGGTTGTAAGGACACCTATCATACTATGCCCGTTTGCATTGTAAGCCAGTTGGCCAATGATAGCTGGATCTAGAGTTCGTATACCGTGGGATGATCCCACGGTGAGCACCGTGCTCAACTCCCAAAATGACGTAGTTTTGCACATTTTAAAAAAATCGCATGAACAGTGCACGTGTAGACAGTACACGCGTGAACAATAACTGTTTTTCTTTTCCTTTTGTCTCAGTTGCATGAATGATGTAACTCGATTATAAAGAAATGTAACTCGCGTTATTCATCAATGTAAGTC